CCCCCCCATATATATTTAGTGTTTGACACCGAACATGTGAAAACTGTTCTTATTTCTGCCTATGATGCTGTGAAACTGACGTTAATTCCTCTCAGCTGGATTTGAATGTGTAGCTGGGGTTTAACTTTAAAACGTTACATCAAATCCGAGAATATAAAACTCATCAGACACGTCTCAAGACCAGCTCACAAGAATTATAGTAGGGCTGCAAATGAGGATGACGATGATTTTCATTTGTCGATTATTTCCTTGACCGATCGAGGAAGACCACGATGAAACGGTGACAAAAAAAAAGGAAATTAAATCACATGATATGATGTCATATATAAGATAAAGTCTAAACACTTTCCATTTGTCGCCTTAGAGTAACTTTGTGTGGAGATGAGAGCACATCAACAACCAAAACCCTAGACAGAGTCAGAGCAGGGATTTATTTTGTAAATTTATCTTAAGGTTCTTAAAATGTGGGGGAGATTGAGCCAAACAAAATTAAATCAATAAAACAAAACTTCATGATGACCAACTACATCTGAAAATCAGATAGTCACATGTCTAGAAGGAAACAGAAGTGGCACTAACTAGTCGACTTGGATATAGTGACATGAAACGCCAAATAAAGGCCCAAGTTAACACACATATTGTTTTGTTTGAACACTTATTTAGAGAAAATAGAGGATTCAGACCAACTGTCGAACTGGCTTGAATTTTTTTGTCTTTAAACAAATTGTTGCGGCTCTATTTTAGAGACAAGCCCCACTGGTGTCCTGGATTGTGGATTACCTGACTGGCAGTGGCAGTATGTACGTTTACAGTGCTGCATGTCAGACAGAGTGGTCAGCAACATTGGGACTCCTCAGGGGACTGTCCACTCTCCCTTTCTATTCACTCTCTACACCACGGACTTCAGCTACTGCACAGAGACCTGCCACCTTCAGAAGTTTTCTGATGACTCTGCAGTAGTAGGATGTATTACTGATGGGAATGAGAGTGAGTACCGGACGGTGGTGGACAAATTTGTCACATGGAGCGGTAAAAACCACCTACAGCTCAATGTGTCAAAGACAAAGGAACTGGTGGTGGACTTCAGGAGGTCGAAGGGGCCGGTGACCCCTGTCACCATCCATGGGGCCAGTGTGGACATGGTGGAGAACTATAAGTACTTGGGGGTGTACTTAGACAATAAACTGGACTGGTCAAAAAATGCGGACATGATTTACAAAAGAGGCAAGAGCCATCTCTCTATTTTCTGAGACGGCTCAGGTCCTTCAACATAGACAGGACGATGCTGCGGATGTTTTATGAGTCTGTTGTGTCCAGTGCCATCATGTTTGCTGTTGTCTGCTGGGGCAGCAGCTTGAAGAAGAAGGACATTAATAGACTCAACAAGCTAATCAGGAAAGCCAGCCATGTTGTTGGGGGGGGGGGGACTGGACAGTGTCACAGTGGTGATGGAGAGGAGAACTTTGTCCAAAGTAAGGACAATATTGGACTTTCCGTCACACCCTCTCCATAATGTCTCGATTGGCCTCTGCAGCTCGTTCAGTAGCAGACTCATCCACCCACGCTGCTCGACAGAACGCCACAGGAAATGATTCCTGCCTGTGGCTGTCAAATTGTACAATGACAACCTGTAAAGTATAAAGATTAATAATGTATACTGTGTATACTTTAACTTTACCTCTAACTTACTTTACTCATGCACAAATGTAAATCTGTAAATACCCGGTCTTCTACATATGTATATCTTTATTTCTATTAGCCTTACTTGATTTTTATATTTTATATGTTTATACCTGCTTTTGCTGTTTCACCTCTTTCTCAGGGGCTCTGTAACATTTTAATTTCCCTACGGGGATTAATAAAGCACTTCTGATTCTGATTCTGATATATCACATTTTGTGAGAACACAAAAGGAACATCTATGATGTCCTGTTCACCTTCCAGCTCTCTGTCGACGTTATCAGGAAAGAGCAGAGGAAATGTATCTTCCCTGTTGTCAA